ATTGATATTGAGTGCTGCAGATACTGGTGATGTGTTGCAGATACAGAGGCTGAGTGTTGCGGATACAGAAGCGAAATTTTGCAGATTCAGATGCTGAGCGATGTAGTTACATTTTCGGCTACATTTTTAATTGTCACGAATTGACAAGCGTCAAATTTATGCTTTTGCTTAACCAGAAGCGTTCGAGCACAAGCTACCAACATTAAGTATTAAAACTGATGTTCTTTTGACGGAGGAAACGTGAATATTACGTTTCATTTTACCTCATTTAAACAACAAAAGTTTAACACAAGTCCTTTGCAAGAGTAACAACCGGTGCATTAAGAATAAGGACATCTAGAATCACTAACATATTGATATGTCTCAGGTAACTTGAATAAGAGTAAACTATGACATTTATTCATTAATTATTCTCTCTATACAATTAATCCATAATATACTCCGACTGTTCTCACATGCAGCAGCTGAGCGGAATAATGCTTCTCTCTAGGCCGGAGAGGAAAAATTTCCTCTCTCACATGAGCTAATTTAGAGTTCAGTACGTCTTAAACTGCTTGTCTCTATTCATAGCTATGACCAGGATACGCGGAGTTGGGTGATAAGGAGGGCCCCCGACGGAGGTTCTGAGACGAGGAGGGTGTGTGACTTGATCAGGTGTCTGTTTGTCTCACTTACTATTTCACTCTCGCTGTACTTCTGTCTGTGTCCTTCTGTCTGTCTGTCTCTGTCTCTGTCTCTGTCTCTCTCGCAGTCTCTCTCTCTCTGTCTCTCTGTCTGTCTGTCTGTCTGTCTGTTTGTCTCTCTCTCTCTCTCTCTCTCTCTCTCACTCACTCACTCTCTCACTCTCTCACCACCTCAGCAACAAATAAACACTAATATTTTTTACTCGACTTCCCACAGCTTATATTATGAATAAAATATATATTACGAATAAAATATATTCTTATATTCGCAGCTTATATTATGAATAAAATCATAATATAAGCTGCGTTATAGAGTACCAGCTAATTGACCAACCACATAAAATTCAATGAAAATAAAGAGGTTTTGGTCCCTCCTGGACCTTTATGAGGCGAGACTCATTAGGCCTAATAGTCCAAGTCGGTCTGAAACGTCGTTTGTTTTCTTTCAGATGTGTTGGTTGAGAAATATATTTAATACCACAGTATTGTTATTCTCTTCTGAGAGGAGAACAACAATAAGGATATTGATAATAAATTCCTTTATAATAAACCTTAAAAAATTCAAGATATATCTGTTGCTAGTCACATATTAATTTAACACGTGTAATCCTCTTATCAATCACATATGTAATAAGTAGTTTGAAATGCTAATCTTTTGCCTTCGTGTCTCAAAGGGAAGGCGAAACAAGAAACATTTTTCAAGGTATTGAGCTGTGGAAGAGTTCAGATCATGCAGTGAAGACACCAGCTGTAAAACTCATGCTACTGACGTTTACCAGCCAAATTAGACGTAATGGTCTTAGTACCCCAAGCAAAACGTGCTCTACGTTGATGTGTGTGTTGGGGAAGGGGAGAAGAGGATGTGTCGACTGAGATATTGTGTTTTTCTTCCCGTGGAGATGAAGCTTCTGACGTTACTGTTACATCTGCTTGCAGTGGTGATCATGATGAATCTGTTTGTGGTTCGCGTTTCTTGAGAGTTTGTTAGACTTACATAGTTGCTCTTACATTTTGCTTTAACAAAAGAGTGGTTGTTGCTTTTTGTATTTATTATTTTTAAATATAGTCATTGTAATGTTACTGCTACTGCTATTCTTACACACCCCAAAACCACTGTGCTGTCTTTATCTGTCAGGGGCCTTGAGGTATAGCCAAGTATGTTCACTAATAACACTTTTGTCCACATAATACATGATTAGCACTTGAGCGTTTAATAAAATATGGGGCCGATCTCTCTGGGATCCTTAGATTAATGCCCAGCCCACTCACCCACGAGGAACTTTAAGTATAACAACCATAAATACTACTGAACAAACAGGGAGTGTGGAAGGCATCCAGATGAAACCCACAACCCATGATCTGCACGTAACCCATAATGGTTAGACTGACTGTTTACCGAGTGGGAAATGGGGGCCATTATAGTTCAAATTGGAAAAGTGATAAAACGCTTGTGAATATGTTCGTCATAAAAGAGACATAGTCAGAAAGTTTGATAGATGTTCCTCAGAGCTCGATAGCTCATATTTTGACGTGCAGTCAGTTGAGAATAAGTTGAAAATGCTGATGAAAGGGTGATTATGAGAGCTGGCTTCTGAGTCGAGAATCCCTCTCTATTTAGCCCTGGGATTTGTGTCCAGTTACGTTAAGTTTGGTGTGTTTAGTAATCTTCTTTTCTTCAAAGGATTATAATTTTATTAGGAAATGACTTAATGAAGGTATGAATGCTCTCATGAATAGTGATACATTCATGATTGCTGGACGCAGAAAATAAGATGCGGTGAGATGCGTCTTTTCATTGTTACTAAAGTAATAAGAAAGGAGGGAGGTAATAGGCAAATGTTGAGTCTCCCTGTGTATTCCTGTGCTCAAAAATGTTGGAGCAGTAGAGAAAGTGAAATGTTTCAAGTGACAGGCCAAAGTGTTGCAGTGTTAGGGTACTGAGTGTCGCATAGTGTTAGGGTACAGAGTATTGCTCAGTGTTAGGGTACAGAGTGTTGCACAGTGTTAGGGGACAGACTGTTGCACAGTGTTAGGGTACAGAGTGCTGCTCAATAATGAGTCACATAGTGTGGAACTGTGCCAGGGTACATTGTGTGGCTGATTGAATGTAAGAATGTGAATGAAAAGCGGTTGTCAGCTAGTGAGGTTGGCTACTTACCTGAATGAACGTCTGGTGAAACTTTTATGTATGCACCTTAGTAGCTTTATTTACACGTTATTAAAGACAGGTAGAAGCTGGAATATCATTCAATCACGGTCGTCCTACAATACATTACAATAACATTCATAACAGTATTTTAGCTTTAGAAACATACATTGCAATAGTTTTTCTATCATATATTGTGCCAGTTATACATGCACCCATTCCGATAGTTTAATTGATCACTGTCAATAGTTTAGCTAGTAAACGTTTCGCTAGTTTTACTTCCAAACATTTCTAAAGATTTTTCTAACACACACTTTGCGATAGTTTTACTCTCGCATACTGTGGTAAATTTCCAAGGAACTCCAGGGACTGTTTCCACCTTCGTTGGGAACGTGTGTCAACATGATCAAAACTGGCTGACTGTAATCTTCGACTAACCTTGAAAAGGCCAAAAATATAGTTTTCCTTCATTTGATCCCGAGTCGTTGCACGAACTCCACTGCGGTCGTCAGCGCTCTGATGCAGTTCTTATGATGCGAACCGACACAGAAACACGCACACACACTTTCATGGCCATACAAATAAACGAAAAAAATCAAGATATATATATATATATATATATATATATATATATATATATATATATATATATATATATATATATATATAGAGAGAGAGAGAGAGAGAGAGAGAGAGAGAGAGAGAGAGAGAGAGAGAGAGAGAGAGAGAGAGAGAGAGAGAGAGAGAGAGAGAGAGAGAGAGAGAGAGACAGAGAGAGAGACAGAGAGAGAGAGAGAGAAAGAGACAGGGCCTCCATGCCCCAAAGCATGTCCAGTACTATAACCACAATGTAACAGACAACAAAAGTATTGGGAAGTTGTCTGACTTGTAACCCCAATACCCGACAGCGCTCGTGACTATATGGGCACAGGAGATATTTCAATAAATCACTTCAACATGCCAGGGACGCATTAGCATCAACTGTTTAAAGCAATGTTAAATCAAGTCACTTGTCATTGATCATTAATCACATTTATAACAAAAACTGAAGCGCTTACTGTAAGGTCATTTTCATGAATATACACTGCTTTTAAGTGTTATATGATATAATATGAAATCAGAATATGAGTATAAGTATATTTGTATTTTGGGGAGCGGGTCTTTACTGCATCAAAGCTAGGGGTACCGATTTCGTTCGCTACAGTAGGACAGAAACGGTTGGTCGAGTTTCCTTTCATCCAGCGGTAGAGACCCGGGAGGTAAGCAATTACTGTGTTACATCCTGGAGAAGGTCAGTAGTTGGCCTCAGGGAGACGTCAACCAGCCTCGGTACTGGCTCCCTCACCCCTGCCATCGGGACTCTCAACGTTTCTGTTAACGTGAGACTGGTCTGGAACACCATAAACAGCTCCTGATATAGCTGTTGAAGTCTTTGGGTATACTGAGGATGTTTACTTACAGATGATGGGATTTTGATCAGGAAGATATAGAGTAATACTTAAGTCTGTAATACTTAAATAAGTCTGTAAAACTAATTTGGAATTTACTAATGGCTTCCACCTATAAAAGTTGCTATCCGACGAAAAATTTGACTAGAATTTTAAAATCTAACGTAGCTACATTTTCTAATAGATTTTAAGCGGTTTTTATTCTCCCTGTTCTGATGCTCCCCATGTAGTCCCGACGCCGAAGTGGTAAGATAATCGCCTGGCGTTTCGAGTGCGCTTTGGCCTGGGTTCGTATCCTGGTCGGGGAGAATTTACTGGGAGTCAATCCTTAACTGTAGCCTCTGTTCACCCAGCAGGGAATGGGTACCTGGTTGCTAGACGATTTGTCGGGTTGTATTCCAGGGAAAATTAGGATTAAGGACTCGGCCGAAACGCCATGCGTGATAGTGGCTGTACAAGAATGTATGAACTATTGTATATATAAATAAATACGAATACAAAAATACTCTGTAGTTTTAACATTATTCTCTTTAGAATATTTTCTCATCGCCACTATGGTACCTATGTCAATATTCATTAGTGTTCTTGTAAATTAATTCCTTGCATCTCTAAAATATATATACTCACCAGTTTGATGCTAGCTGTATTCACTGTATCCACACAGAATTCTTACTCACCAGTGTATTCTCAGTCATAATTACTGTTGTGTATGTTTATCCTCAGTTACGACGCTCGGGGCGGCAACCTGTCAGCGGGCTCGGGTCGAGTGCATGGCAGTAATCTGGGCCCGCGGTCCAAGTGAGTGTAGCGTGACTCTTTATGTGGTATTGTAATGTTTGTGGCACTCTCAGTGTGACAACGTAATATTGGCACCTTTCATAATGGTATAGTGTGGAGACTCATGCTGGTATAGCGAGTCTGGAACCTCCCACGGCCCACTGCCCACCTCTCAACAAGATCCCACTTCTCACAGACAGATGTTCTCTTTCCTATAAGGTTTGTGTTGCTGGAGAAGGAGAGTTACCTGCGCGTGGGGTCTGGACAGGACCCAGCCAGCTTCATACCTGTGTTTCCCGGGTACCTGGAGCTGAGCCACATCACCAGGGCTGACAATGGCAGCTTCAGCTGCAGAGTTGACTTCCTCAACTCCCCCACCCAGACCCACAGACTACATCTAACCGTCTACGGTAGGTCAAACATCCACTGCATTAATCGATATGTATAGAAGGGAATGTGTGTTTGTCCAAAATTGAGGCCAGACACTTTGAGCTAACCTCGTCCAACTTTGTAGGGGGAATGGTCTGGGGTGTAGGACGGATATAGGATGTTCGGGGTTAACAGAATTCAAGCGGAAACAGCGTGCCAGGGTCACATTTTAACCTCAACGACGACTTTTGGCACTGCCTGCTGGCTACCCCCCTCCCTAAATATTATGAAAACAAAAACAAAGTAAAAATAATATAGTAAAATACGCCATCGTTTATTGATCTCGGGAATATAACATAAATTTTCTGCTATTGATACTTTGGCTGTATTAGCATAAAGGTGGAAAGGAGGAGGCGGATGGAAAATGGGGGAAGAGGGTTGATGTTTGGACGGGAGAAAAGTAACAAAAAGGGGGGACTGGGGGTGTCGGGTGGGAGCGGAGCATCCCCGGCCCGGCCAGGGATGTTCCTAGTGTGTGTGTGTGTGTGTTGTGATTGTGTATGTGTATAGTGGAAATGCAGGCTCGAGAACGTGCTGTAGTCCTGGAATGCGTGTGTGCTACTGAACAAGAGTTTGGAAGCATTAGAGTTCAGGAATGGAAGAGTGCAGATGGCAGGAGTACTGGAGTACGAGCTCGCTAGAGGTCAGGGGTTAACAAGTACGAGCATACTGGAGTACGGTCCTGCCGGAGTACGAACTTGCTGAGTACGGGCGTGCTGAAATATAAACTAGCTAGAGTATTTGCGTTCTTGAGTGCAGGCGAGCGGGACAAAGAAATGTAGCGAGCATCACAAGTCGGCTCGTCGATAAAGGGCACTCGACTCACACACTCGAGCTTCGTCAAAAAGGCGCCCTCGGGTCGATTGTTCCTCAAGTGACATCCTGGAGATAGTCAATGATTGCCAGCTCTGACTCCCTCACTCGAACTGAGGGCTAAGGACTCAAGGCTCAGGGTTCAGGGCTCTTCGCTCAAGACTCCGAGCTTAGATATCATGGCACAGGGATAAGGAATCATCATCTTTCTTATGGTTCTTTTTTATTTTGGCTTCCCGAACGTCTCTTCCACTTTCCTTTCTTTAACCAACTAGACTGGACGGTGGAGCGACGATCTCGCTTCTTGCAGGTCAGCGTTCAATTCCCGACCTTCCATGTGGCTGGCATCCTTCTTTGCCTCTGTCCTATTATAAGTACTTATCCTCATACACCTTCCAAGTGTTATATAGTCTTAATTATTCAGTGCTTTCTTCTGATAAATACCTCACCTTTCTATCTCTGTCTCGTCTCTTCAGTCTCAAGGTCGTCGCAACACTCTCCTTACCAACTTTCTTATCAAGAGTTTCCGGAAAATGTGAACTTGTAAACATTTTCTTTTTATTGAAAACCGTATGAGAATACTTAGGTCTTTCTGGAGAGGTCAACGCTTCAGGCTTGATTACTCATCCGAGTGGCAGAGCGACTCCTTTTGGTTTCATTACTCATGCTAGTGATGGAAGGAACTTCAATCAACTGGTTTGATTACTCAACGAGTGGTGAAGGGGTCTCTCTTCTCTGTTTTCATTACTCAACGAGTGATGAAGAGACTTTTCACTCTCTTTCCTGCTTAGTTAAGGAAAACATGCGTAACAGAGAAAAGAAAGAAATGGAAGCTTAATTTACCATCAGATTGGATACAATCTGTTGCATGTATTTGAAGAAGATTGTGAATGACTAAAGGAATAGTGACACTGACAGAAGTTCGTCTTCGCGAAAAAAAAGAGTTATAATGTGACGCGTCGAGGCATTATGATGTTCATTATAGTGAACCTGAACTTGTAAATAGATATTTAATAACGGGCACAGCCGTATAGTGAAGAGGTAGAGACAATCTTGTATGATGTGCCTTTTTGCCCTACGCAGGAATTATTAAGAATTTATTACATATGACTGACAGTGGATTTCAGATTAGCCTTTCTAAACAAAATGTGTTCCACTAACTCCCTGATTTGGACGTGTTAATGCAAAGATGCATCACCCACGTATTAGACATACAATCAAAGGTGCCAGAGGAGCTAAAACGTCATAGCTTAATCTAACCTAATCTGGAGCAAACTGTTAGGGATGGGTTCTGCCACAAGTAACTTGATTTGTTCTGGGAATGACGGCCGCCGTCGTCTCTCTCCCCGATGTCTGCAATCAGAATGAATTAAGGGTCTCCTTTTGGAAAAAAAGAAAACTACGTGAAAGAACTGTTAAGTAATGATAAGTTTAGAGAGACTCAAGTCTAGCTGCTTCATCATTACCTCTCATTCTTTTGTGTCCCCTGACATGTTGGCTTTAAAAGCTTCTTTATGCTACGTTCAATAGTTTACCTCTCCATGTTTACTTGCCCCCAGGTGGTTCCTTGTTCCTCCAGTCTATCTTTCAATGGTTGAAGAATCTCATGATTAGAAGTCGGGATTCATTCCAACAGGTGACAGAGGCTGGCTTATGTGATAACTGTTTCTGAATGTAGCTTGGTGATGTAACTGGAGACTGAAACAGTGTAACACAGCGGTTATAGAGAACCTGGCAATAGTGTGACACAGCTGTCATAGGGAACCTTGCAACAGTGTGACACAGCTGTCATAGGGAACCTGGCAACAGTGTGACACAGCTGTCATGTGAACCTGTTACAGCTGCGGCCAACTGCTGCCAACAGCCTGGCAAGGATATTCTCCGCGCTTCTCACGTCTCTCTCTCTTGACACCTGCCGCTGCCTTCTGTTCAGCTCGACTCAGAGTTTCCTCTTACAAGACAACTCAATTTCCAACTCAGCACTTCAAGACATTCCATTTCGGCGTATCACTCATACAAAAAAGGTTGCAGAAATGGTAAATATTAATTAGAATAATTAGTTCCTAAACAATACAGTGGTAATTAACGGGTAATTATGTATTTACGTCATAGCTAACCTAACTCTGGACTAACCATTCAAAACCTATATATATATATATATAAAACTTTTCCGTCTACCGGTTATACATATAATGAAAAAAGAAAGACAAAACTAGTCATTGAACGTAATTTGTATTAATTAATAAAATATTTTCGTGCATTTATTGGCTGTGAAAACGCAGGTCACCAAGTTAACTACTCAGCCAACTGTGTCGTCTAGTATCTCTGCTTGCCATGGACACACCTACCATCTGTGTCGTCTAGTATCTCTGCTTGTCATGGACACACCTACAAACTGTGTCGTCTAGTATCTCTGCTTGCCATGGACACACCTACAAGCTGTGTCGTCTAGTATCTCTGCTTGCCATGGACACACCTACCAACTGTGTCGTCTAGTATCTCTGCTTGTCATGGACACACCTTCCAACTCTAGTCAACCACTCCTTATGGCGCTATGATTACTCTCACTAGCTCTCGGTGGTCGAATACCTCGTCTGGTACTCTATGATCCCTCACTAAACATGATACACACACCGTATCATGACTACGCTGCCAACTGTTATTGACACATGATATAACCACCACCATCTTATGCTCCCACCGCTGTATGGCACTACCATCTCCTTATTCTACCACCTCTTCCTACCACCATCATCACTTGACACCGCCCAATGCTCACTACAGTAACCACTTGCAGTATTAAGTGTTAAGCACATATCATTGTACATATATAGTTCTTTAAATTTTGTGGCAATTTCAGGCATCATATTGCCTCATCTTCTTTGTTCCTTCCTTACTGCTTCATTCGCATAGCTTCCCTCGATGCATCTCCCTCTTTATTGATCCCTCATTATTACTTCTTCTTCTTTGGTAATCTTCACTTAATTCTCCCTCTTCCCTGGTAACTCTGTATCCCTGCCTGAGTCTGCCAGTCAAGCCTCACAATAGCCCCTGGCAGCTCACTCAACAATTCTGTATGTGATTAACGCCAGCGGCAGGCACTAACTGCACCTGTATTACCCCCCTGTAATCCGCACAGGTGAACTTACCTTGCCTTTTTATCACAACTTGTGTTGTGACACTAAAGGTGACCGACCCTTCTGATACCATATGTTTTGCCTCCTGCTCAGACAACTTCCTCATGTTTTGTGCTATGGTATCTCACTGAGGCTCCCTGCTCAGGCATCCCACTGAGGTTTCCTGCTCAGGCATCCCACTGAGGTTTCCTGCTCAGGAATCCCACTGAGGTTTCCTGCTCAGGCATCCCACTGAGGTTTCCTGCTCAGGGATCCCACTGAGGCTCCTTGCTTAGGCATCCCAGTGAGCCTCCCTGCTCAGGCATCCCACTGTGGATTCCCTGCTCAGGCATCCCACTGAAGATCCCTGCTCAGGCATCCTAGTGAGGTTCCCTGCACAAGCATTTCTCTGAGGCTCCCTGCTCAGGCATCCCAGTGAGGCTCCCTGCTCAAGCGTCTTCCTGGTGGTCCCTGTTCAGTCAACCTCTAAATGTTCACTACTCGAGCATCCTCCATGATGCGCTCTCAGGCATCTTCCTCCGCAGGAATAGCCAGCTAAAGGTCGCATTATATCGACGCCATTGTAATAATTTATTTCCCAATGAAGTCGAGAGGGGAAGAGAGAACTCTGCAGCTGTCTGCTTTTGAAGTTATATATTAAATATTAAACATAATCAGATGGTTGGGAATCTCAGAAGTAATGCTGGACCCGGATCGATCCGGCGGTGCGCGGGTCGATCCGGTGGCCAGGTTCCCCTCCCCCCCCACACACACATCCTCCCCATAACCCTTGACAACCCTTCCAGATGTTCTCCCACGTGAACTCCCTTCCTCCTCCCAGCACACACACACACACACACACACACACACACACACACACACACACACACACACACACACACACACACACACACACACACACACACTAGCTGGGAAGACGGGACACCACGAGCGTAGCTCTCATCCTGTAACTACACTTAGGTAATTACACACACACACACACACACACACACACACACACACACACACACACACACACACAATTAGGTAAGTACAATTAGGTAAGTACACACACACACACACACACACACACACACACACACACACACACAATTAGGTAAGTACAATTAGGTAAGTACACACACACACACACACACACACACACATACACACACACACACACACACACACTTCCCATTTCACATCTCTCCCTGCTCGCACATGCCCTTCCACCACCATTGTAACCAAAATGTTTCGCCAAGCATCCCAGTCTCTGTGATCTAAACATACGTTTAGAAAATATGTATCTAAATTCACCATTATTTAAATTCATGTTAAAGTCTTCAGACTCGGGGTGTTGTACAACACATTCAGACTTTGTGAAAAATGGGCACCAGGAGCCCATCTTCAAGAGAGCACTGGGACAATCCTCGACCCCCCCCCCCCCCACCAGGAGCCCATCTTCAAGAGAGCACTGGGACAATCCTCGACCCCCCCCCCCCCACCAGGAGCCCATCTTCAAGAGAGCACTGGGACAATCCTCGACCCCCCCCCCCCACCAGGAGCCCATCTTCAAGAGAGCACTGGGACAATCCTCGACCCCCCCCCCCCCACCAGGAGCCCATCTTCAAGAGAGCACTGGGACAATCCTCGACCCCCCCCCCCCCCCCCCCCCACCAGGAGCCCATCTTTAAGAGAGCACTGGGACAATCCTCGACCCCCCCCCCCACCCCCTATGTCACACCCGAATGTTATCGCCATTAATTCTGCAAAGTTTACTGAATCAAGCTCAAATCGCCTATTGTCTATTGATCTATTAAAAAGACATTGAATGTCTATTAAAATAAACATTCTTATAGATACAAATTGAGAGTTCCTTGTCTCTATTCACACGGAATAAAAATGGTGGTAATCCAGGATTCATGTATTATCTTCCCACCCCAGGAAGCATGCAGTTGGGAATTTTTACAAGACTTGAAATTCCCAGATATTTCTGTTGGGGTTGGCGACGTTGACTTCCTTATAGTAGAATAACAAGTTGTTTGTTTCAAACTGTTTATTTATCTTTATTAGAAAAGTCATTCAGGTCGTTAATGAGCTTGACTGAAGAGAACAGTTGTTGAACGCGTTGTGTTATTTTATACTTTTTTGCATGGAAATGAGTTATTATTTTTTTTGCTCCCGTTTCCTTTGATGATTTCAAATTAACACAGGGTAAAAACCCATTAAAAAGCAATATATACAGTTAAATATTAGGAATTCAAACATAAATTATTCTTTGAAACTTACATTTTAATTAATACCACTCGCATCACCGTCAAGAATAACAAAAAAACTAGATAATACAATTATATATATATATCTATATATATATATATATATATATATATATATATATATATATATATATATATATATATATATATATATATATATATATTTATGAGATACATACGACGTTTTTTTTCTGAAATCATATATCATGTAGTTTAACCCCCACAAGCAAAATTAGGAGAGTACAATCATGTTCGCTCTCTAAAATCTTGTCCCAGAGAAACAATCTCCAATTGAGCCATTGATTTGTTGTTATCGTGAGGTTATCTAGAGATGATTTCGGGGCTTAGCGTCCCTGCGGCCCAGTCCTCGACCAGGCCTCGTTTTCGTTACACATCTCCAGGAAGCAGCCCGTAGCAGCTGTCTAACTCCCAGGTACCTATTTGTGAACAGCTTGATTGAAGTATTGATATAACCCTTGAATAACTAGTCAGTAGTGAGATGCGTGAGCTGCGAAAGACTGAGGAGCTGAGAGCACTGTCTCCCCTGACAGAACGGCCGTCGTCAGTGACAGTAGTGGACGGACGAGGTCACACCCTGACTCCAGGACCAGGAGGACTCTACACAGCTGGACCCTTTAACCACACTAGCCCTCTCCTCCTCACCTGCAACGTTCTGGGAGGTCTGTACTCACGAGGGGTCACCCTCACACTCATGTCCTTCACCCTCATACTGCTGTTATTCATCCTCAAAATGAGGATGAATAACAACAGAGGGTTTAGTGATCATAAAAGTATTTTTAAAGCAGTAATAGGCCAGCCCCAATTAATAATGTCATTCATTCTCACATTCATGTTGTTCAGCCTCACCAGAGAGCTCAATAAGAGCTCCGATAGATTGATTGATGACAATTAAGCCTTCTAGGAGGTGGCACGGGCATGAGTAGCCCGTAAGTGGTGGTCATCAGCATGTGACTGTGCTCTGGGACCCACCACCCCCTACAGGCAATCGGTGGTGAAGTGGTATTGGTCCTGTGTATACCAGATGGGGGAGCCCTGATAACACAGGTTCGAATCCTGGTAGAGTATTCGAGTTGTTTTAGTTGTATAAATATATATATATATATATATATATATATATATATATATATATATATATATATATATATATATATATATATATATATATATATATATATATGTGTGTGTGTACTCACCTAGTTGTACTCACCTAGTTGTGTTTGCGGGGGTTGAGCTCTGGCTCTTTGGTCCCGCCTCTCAACCGTCAATCAACAGGTGTACAGCTGATTGACGGTTGAGAGGCGGGACCAAAGAGCCAGAGCTCAACCCCCGCAAACACAACTAGGTGAGTACAACTAGGCGAGTACACACACACATATATATATATATATATATATATATATATATATATATATATATATATATATATATATATATATATATATATATATATATTTATACAACTAAAACAACTCGAATACTCTACTCTACGAGGACTGTGTGTGTGTGTGTGTGTGTGTGTGTGTGTGTGTGTGTGTGTGTGTGTGTGTGAGTATTTTAGTAAACAGGACAGAAACGGTTAAAATAATGATTTATTCCTGTGAATCCTCTCTATATATCATACTGTATATAGAGAGGATTCACACGAATCTTCTCTATATTCACTATGATATTCTTCACCAAAATAATAAATCCAAGATGATTAGTGCGTGAATACTGTTACATATTTTCAATCTGTCGTTCCTCTCCCAAAGGGTGGCCGGCGCCTACAGTGGAGTGGCTCAGGGGAGGCAGAAGGCTGGTCAGCTCCACTGATAATGGGGGCGACGGGTCGGTGGGCAGCCGACTGTTCATCAACTCTTTGAAAGCCGAGGACTATATGGCGGAGGTGCAGTGTGTGGTGACCAACAACAACCTCACGGCGCCTCTCCACACCAGAGTCAGGATAGACATGAATGGTGAGTGAGATGTCCCCAGCAGTTTGGTTTCATGGTACGTTTGGTGGAGAAGTTTCGTTTCACTGTAATTTTGGAGGAGAAGTTTTGTTTCACAGTAATTTTGGAGGAGAAGTTTTGTTTCACAGTAATTTTGGTGGAGAAGTTTGGTTTCATAGTAATTTTGGTGGAGAAGTTTGGTTTCATAGTAATTTTGGTGGACAAGTTTTTTTTTTCACAGTAATTTTGTAGGAGAAGTTTTGTTTCATAGTAATTTTGGTGGAAAAGTTTTTTTTTCACAGTAATTTTGTAGAAGTTTTGCTTCACAGTAAATTTTGCTGGAGGAGCTTTTTTCACAGTAATTTTGGTGGAGAAGTTTTTTTTCACAGTAATTTTGCAGAAGTTTTGCTTCACAGTATGTGTGGATGTTTTCTACGAGTATCTAAGTTATTTCAATAATCAACTTCTCATCTGTAATATTAATTAGACCGTAAATATTTGCAGCTTAAAATTTTCATTATAATATACATATTCCACGAAATAATTGAATATTGTTTACGTATCTAATTCACTCTAGTTACCGAAGCCTCGATCACATACCACACATCGTCCTTTAGTCGTCCTTACACAAGGACCATGAGCACTCACCCTAGAGAAGGATCTCAGAGGCGCCTGACACACAATTGAGACTTAAGTTGACCAGACCACACACTAGAAGTTGAAGGGACGACGACGTTTCGGTCCGTCCGAAACGTTGAGGTAGTAAAATGTAAATTGAGACGTAAGCCTCCATATACATACTGGTACCCCAAGGAAGGTTTAAAGTCTCATATGGGAACCAGCTCGGTTCCTTTTGGACAGCATCTATTATATGCTTTTTATGACGGTCTCAATGTTTGTCTCAAAACTATATATGAGAACGATAATATATTAGAACATATACAGCATCCCAAAGCATGACAACATATATCTTCTTTCTATCTGTACTTCCGTCTTTGTCTCTCTCATAACTCTTGCTGTCCCTCTCTGTCTAAAATTCTTGCTTTCACTCTGTCTCTGTCTAAAACTCTTGCTCTCCCTCTGTCTCTGTCTAAAACTCTTGCTCTCCCTCTGTCTCTGTCTCTCTGTATGTCTCTCTCTTTGTCTCTCTCTCTCGGCTAGTTTGTATTTTACGAACTCGAGAAGAAGGAGTAACTTTAGGAGTCGGGACGAATATTAATGGTAATTTATGTCGTCTGCAAAACAAGTTAAAATGGAACTGCATTTATTCCTCTGGATGTCTTGGGCCGACTTCAGCAATGATGTCTGGTAGGCGGAGCATCCCTGATGTTTGTAGAGGCGACCTCAGCTCTAGTGTTTGTTGAGGCGACCTCTGCTCTAGTGTTTGTAGAGGCGACCTTAGCTGTAATGTTTGCTGGTCGACCTCAGACCGGGTTTTTACCGCTCGTTAGCAAAACTTTCTTGCCGGTTATTTTGCTAGAAAGAAAAACTTTAGTAAACAAATCGGGAATTTTATCACAAGTAATTTCCTGCGTAGCAGAGATTCGAAGATTGTTTCGGTTCATGAAAGAAAATGAAGTTTTCAGGGACCTGGGGCCAGATTCACTAACCAGTTACGCAAGCACTTACGAACCTGTACATCTTTTCTCAATCTTTAACGGCTTTATTTACAATTATTAAACAGTTAATGAGCTTCAAAGCACCAGGAGGCTGTTTATAACAATATCAACATATGATTGGAAGGTTTTCATGCTTGGAAATTGCTTAATAAACGTAACCAAAGCCGTCAAAGATTAAGGAAAGATGTACACGTTCGTAAGTACTTGTGTATCTGCTTCGTGAATCTGGTCCCTGGACTACAGAGTCAGCGTTGGTGGTGGTGGTACTGAAGGAATCACGTAACGGTGACTACCAGGACGTTAGGTCAAAATGTCCCACCTGTCAACCGACTTGTATATGGTTGCTTCCATATCTGTGGCAAATCTGGTGGCATTGTCGTGGTGGAAGTTTAAGTTGAAATAAGGGTATGTTAATGCTGTTATTGATGATAGTGTCGGACGGTTGGTGGTGGTGATACAGTAGTGTGGGAGTGGTATTTCTTGTGGAATGGTAGCTTCTGAATGGTATTGTTGTTAACAGGAGTATGGAAGCGTTTGGTGGTGGCATATGTTACTGCAGAATGCTTTAATTCTTCTTCCCAAAGTGGATGGCACCCATATTAAATATCTCTATTTCTTGATGAAGTTGTTCTTGTTATTTTTTCAATTTCTTTGATTTAGGTTTAGTGTTCATAAAACTAATTTTTAACCAGTAATAGGCGAGTCCAAATTACTGCCCCCCCAACATCACCACACAAATAACACGAATAACAGCCTCAATAATTAGGCAGTGACTTTAATTACAAAATCCCCACCTAAGCTACGACAATAAAACTGTTTTTGATGCAGCTTTTACTGTTGGTGTAACTAGCGCGGGTACTGTTATGTTCTGTTATGTGAATGTGTGTTGATCTGTTTAGCACGTTTGTTTTTGGTCAAATTTATGAAAACAGTTTTTAATGCCCTTTTTACCATGGTTTGGAATGCAGATGAATATTCACTTGATCTTTTGCTGACGATACTTTTGCGCTGATATTTGATGGTGATGTTGTTTATTGTGAGAGTGAAAGAAGAAACGATTGCGGTTGCTATTTCAGTAGTTGTCGCAGTGGATGTATAGTGATGGTAATTGTTGTGGTAACGATTTTGGGAGGGGTTACTGGTTACAAGAAAGGTGTGTGTATGAATTAGTTGTAACTCTATTTTACCAGTGTTAAATAAATATTGGGTCGTAGTATGGTGATAATAACGGTGGTGGTGATATTATTTCGTAAAGTCAGCATAGTCTGTACTAATATGATGAAGTTACTAGTGTTACGATTACGGTAAGGTAGATGATTGATGATATACAAATGCTTATTTAAGAACATAAGTAATATAAATAAAGGTAACTGCAGAATGTCTATTGGGACATACAAGGCAGCTCCTATTTATAACCACCCAATCTCACTCATATTCATGTCCAACCCACGTTTGAAACAATCGAGGGACCCCCACCTCCACTAATTATAAGCTCCTTATTTCGCATAAGGAACTATACATGGGGGGTTCCCATAAGGAAGGGTGACAGTGAGCAGTGACTGTAGTTAGATAGCAGAACCAATGAAACGATTTCTGGAGTTAGCAAGTGGACACGAGGTAACAGTTTCTTCACTTATCATGGTGAACAAAAACACTTGTCATAGAAGTGAATACTGAACAATAATTATTTCTCTACTTGTCGAGGTTGATTAATATAAATAATACATCACACTTTCACCTCACACTTGGAAGTTTCCAGTATGAAATTTATCAATGTTCTTCCACGAAAATAACATCTGTAAATCACTTGGAGGTGCTAGCAGGCTGTGAAAGAAGGTACGGTAACTTTAAACATTGAACTGCGTTACATTTAATGTTTCTTCGCAGTTCTACACTCCGGTGATTTCTCAGATGACTGAGGTAGTTCCCCTTCTTGTCAATACCGAACATCCCATAACACTATCTTTTCTTGACAGGTCTTAGACCACAACCATGAAACAACTTCACAACACACCGTTATTAGCACAGGCGGTATGTCTCCCTCTAAACGTATTGATGAAACGTTTCATCACACCATTCTACACAAAAGGGGCTGAATGTGTGGCACGAGGGATAGTAGTGACGTTACAAATAACTTCACGTTGCTTACCAAGCATCAGAGATGACTTGGTAATGATCGATAACGTTTCAAACTTCATCTATAACTCTGTTCTCCAAAACTCACTGTCAGAGTGGAAGAAAATTTTGTCACCATAAAGAGCATTCAATTCCCAATTACATTTAAATCCCTATCACTGGTTAATAGCAAGTCTACCCATGCCATTTATCTTGAGACTGGCAATATTAAAACAATATAGTTCTGGCCTGAACTACAGATCGAATGTTAGCCAATTTTTAATCTGTTCAATCGTTCCTCTTGCTTCTTCTCACACCTGACCCATTGACACATGGTTATTTCAGTCTCCCTCCTTCCTGTTCACTGAGCAACAGTTTCTCCTGTTCACACGACAATCCTTCCTGTTCACACAGCAATACTCCCCCCTGTTCACACAGCAACACTCCCTCCTGTTACCACAGCAACACCCCCTCCTGTTACCACAGCAACACCCCCTCCTGTTACCACAGCAACACCCCCTCCTGTTACCACAGCAACACCCCCTCCTGTTACCACAGCAACACTCCTTCCTGTTCACACAGCAACACTCCTTCCTGTTCACACAGCAACACTCCCTCCTGTTCACACAGCAACATCCCCTAATGTGCACACAGCAACACTCCCGTAATACTCCCACCATTTCACTTGAGAAGCAAGGAAGCTCTCCATGTGAGGCCTGTGTTATAACTAATGCAGTTTAGTCTAATTCATTACCTCAGCAGAAGGACATGTGGCCATGCAGCCCCCTTGTGGCTTTGCAGTGTTTCTTCTTCTTAAATTTTATTTCTTAAATTGAGAACATAAGAATAATGGTAACTGCAGAGAGCCTATTGGCTCATACGAGGCAGCGCCTATTTATAACCACCAAATCCCATTTACTGAGTCTTATGCTTGCAAATTTTTCATAATTGACCTACTGCTGATAATAAATGAATATGAGCTGTACATGTGTACTTAGGTTTGGTTACTTATTTATTTGTGTACTAATTTATACAACTAAAATGTCAAAATTGGCATTACGAATTATTAAATGATTTATTATAAAATATATTAAAAAGAATTGCTTGGCTGCATTTGAAACGTTCTTGAGATTAAGTTGAGTTTTTTGTACATTTTGTGGAAGAGGATTTCCAGCTTGAAGATTTGATAGTGTTGAGAATAGTAATGCTGGAACACTCATAGTATTGCGGGTGCAAGCGATGAGTCAGAATAACGTGGCTGAAGTGTGTTGACCAGACCACACACTAGAAGGTGAAGGGACGACGACGTTTCGGTGCGTCCTGGACCATTCTCAAGTCGATTGTCTTGTGTATTGCGAGTGTTGAGAATGTGAATGAGAATGCTTGAGAAAGGGTCCCAGATGTTTTTTTTTCAGTTCAAAACTCGTGAAAATCTTCCTCCACCAGAAAACGTACATATAATAGACTTAACTTAGAAGATAAATATAATCTTCCACAAGTCTTCAATTCCTTCGCTTACCAAATTTCTTCCCGTTAGCCTTAAAGTTTTTTCTCTGGGGGGAAAAATTCAAACTTTTGCCTAAGTTTAACAATTCTGATAACCTCGGTTAAAATTTGTTTTTATCTGATATTTAAAACATATATCAATATTTGGTGTATTTAAATGAATTTATGTTGCTAATCGAGTTTTATATTTGGTGAACAGTGGAACCAACGAGTGTGGTCATCACAGGTGTGGAGGGAGGCTTGGAGGCCGGAGCCCGTCAAGAGGTCAAATGCGTCTCTACGGGGTCAAGGCCTCCAGCTAATCTTACTTGGGACCTTGAAGGAGAACCTGATTGGTCACCACTACAGGTCACAGAGGTTAGTCACTGCTGACATTTTGGAGAGTGATTGTATGTTTATTTATGGTTTATATGTGAACATTTGTATACTAATATAACTTCAATCTACACACACACAAACACACACACACACACACACACACACACACACACACACACACACACACACACACACACACACACACACACATGTAGTGTCAGAGTTTTTAACAGATGGAATGCATTAGGCATTGATGTGGTGGAAGCTGACTCCATACACAGTTTTAAATGTAGATATCATAGAGCCCAGTAGGCTCAGGAATCTGTACACTAGTTGACTGACAGTTGAGAGGCAAGACCAAAGAGCCAGAGATCAACCCCCGCAAACACAAATAGGTGAGTACAAATAAATGACTACACACACACACACACAGACAAACACACAAACACACACACGCACACTTACACACGCACTCACGCTACCACACTGGCATGAATGAGAGATAGTTGGGAATATAACAACACGTACAATTCTCAGGGGAAACTGACACAATATGTTAAAGAATTGAGGTCCCGAGAGGGAGCCCCAGGGCACTCCACTTGCAACTATTTCCCACTTAGATTTCATCTATGTTTATGTAAGACTTGTAGTGTCTTTTTTCACACTCAGTAACGCACCCAACAAGCGTTCCACCAGAGCTCGTTACCGACGGAATGGGCCGAAGGTTTGCCACATTCATTTAGACTCCAAGTACTCGCCTGTACATATATTATCCAGTGCGCATGATCCGACAGTCATTTAAAGGCCTCACACGAGAATTAATCACAAACAACTAGTGCTAACAGCTTTAATGGATAACCCATGTTACTCCTCTCTACTCCTCAGTCACACACAAACCACGCAGGCTCCTTCTACTCGCAAATTACCAGTACGTCTCAGTTCACTGGAGGCTTACTGTAGAGAGGTGGCCCCGGGTGAGTCTGCTGGAGGCTACGAGTGTGATCATCACTGGTGTGGAAGGCGGGTTAAAGGCCGAAGAACGTAAAGAGGTCAAATGCGTCTCCAAGGGGTCGACGCATTGTCCTGGAAGGTGTCCGGACAATAACGTTGCTTCTCTGCACGAGGTGGTGATACGTTCCAGGGCCAGGTGTCTGGAAGACCATCCAGTACTTAGTCACTGGCGTCTCCAGATACCGACGATTCCCCACTGAACAAGGCCTCATTTGTTGATAACGCGCCATCGAATTACTTCTGCGGTTTGACTTTTCTCTTAGAAACATTCAGTTGAGAGAGCTTTTATCTACTCACGTATGCTCTGATGGATAGATATGATGGCTCACTCGTACCTTAGTAATTTCTCTACGTCAATTGCGGGCTCGTAACTTGACGAATGGTAGTTCAGGACGCTATGATATTTAGGCCCGGGAGGCAACACGTGCTTACAGAATACCGCCCACAGTCGACATGAGGCCCGTGGCTCAGAGGAGCCACCTCGTAGCTTCTACACAGTTTAACGGTTACTTCTTTGTCAACCAATCACAGCCCAGGAGATTTGGCCTGTGTTCTTACTGGTTGCCTCAACTTATTTACCCTTTCATTTTACATACATGATACTAGTAGGCCATACATAAATGTTGCTAGTAGGTTATAGATACATATTGCTAGTTGCTAGTGTTGCTAGTGGGCTAGACACGGATACACATTTATGAAGGTAATAATAAATGGCAGAAAAGAGGAAAATACACTGACATGAAAAACGTTAAATGAATGTTAGTTGAATACTGAATGCCGCGCACTCCACCGTGTGCTGGCTACACTACCGCAAAAAAATTATTCATTTACGGACGAGGGAATACGGAATGACGCTTTTAATCCAGCCATAAACACTTTATCTGATGAAAGCCTAATTTGATTAGTAAATCACATGCGACTATCAGCTTTAGTTTATACAAGACAATCTCCCTTTTTAAAATAAGAGAATACACATTGAAAGTAGCATTTTTGTGCTCCTGAGGTTGACTTATAATTTGTGTATTGGTAAAGTGTTTTGGCAAATTCAGAAATCTTTCCTAATTTGCTGAAATTTACAGTATTTGGAAATCTACAGTATTTACAAATTTGCTGAAAATTGTATTTTAAAGGGACAATTTCTGGTAATTTCCGAATAATTACAAAATAATAATAATGAACATTTTTCGTTGCTGGGGACTGGAAGCCTTTACTTAGGTTTATCAAGGTCCTATTGCGTCAACTACTGACCTTTTCCAGGCTGTATCCTACAACAGTTACGTATTCCCTTATTCCAAAACCTATTTACTGTTTTGTGAACAGACACATCAGGTGAAAGTAAACGTGGCCAATTTTTTCTCTCCCTCCTGGGACCATGAATTGTGAGTCGAGGACGAAGACCACTGTACTGCAGAACCGTAATATATCGTCTAGTCATTTTATATATTAAACTATGACTTACTCAGAACATTCTTTAATTACAAAAGGGTGATGGTTAGCTAAGGAAAACTGAACCATCAAGTCACTTCATGAATGCTATAACATTACTACATATATATGCACCCAGGATCAAATGTTTATAAAAAACGTGTACCGTCGCCTCCTTCCTCTTCTCAAGGTTATGATAATTTTTTTGTTCTACCACAGACGAGGCCACACACTTCTAATACTAACCAATATATATATATATATATATATATATATATATATATATATATATATATATATATATATATATGTCGTACCTAATAGCCAGAACGCACTTCTCAGCCTACTATTCAAGGCCCGATTTGCCTAATAAGACAAGTTTTCATGAATTAATGTTTTTTCGTCTACCTAACCTACCTAACCTAACCTAACCTAGCTTTCTTTGGCTACCTAACCTAACCTTACCGATAAATATAGGTTAGGTAGGGTTTGTTAGGTTCGGTCATATATCTACGTTAATTTTAACTCCAATAAAAAAAAAATTGACTTCATACATAGAGAAAAGGGTTGCTTTATCATTTCATAAGAAAAAAATTATAGTAAATATATTAATTCAGGAAAACTTGGCTTATTAGGCAAATCGGGCCTTGAATAGTAGGCTGAGAAGTGAGTTCTGGCTACTAGGTACGACATATATATATATATATATATATATATATATATATATATATATATATATATACATTTTCTTCTGTCCTCCATGGACAGGGTTAGAGATCTGCTAAACATATAGTTCAGTGATTTATTGAACAATTAACCACAAAAGGTAATTGCAGTACTTATAATATGCTAATGTAACCTACATTCAGAAATACATATATACACAGATTTGTCTGCCCTAATTAAACAGTGTTCGATATGTCATTTGACAAAATATTATTAAGCTTCCACATATCCTATATACACATACATACACACATTCATACATATATATACACATACACATATATTTATGTCTCTCCTGGCAGGGTAAGGTAGCTGCTATATAAACTAGTGTGTTATTAAGCACCTAACATGATTAGGGTGATTAGGGTGCTTTTACAAGCTTTTTAGTTACATCACAACATGAGCTATGCAAGGCGGTGATGATTTTCTAAATGAGTGCCGATAGTCATTCTAATTGTAACAGGATTCTGAGATTCCTTGACTCCCCTAACCTCCTATTTTTTCTCGTGTGCTTCTTATTGACAGTAAAAAAATCCTGTTCATGAAACACAGACAATTAGTAAAATTCCAAGAATTGCAGATAAGTATATTATATAAAAGTCGATCTAAAAGAGCAGAAAACAACTATTATATATATATGAAAACGAAAGTTACTGGATGCATTTGGAAACCTAAATAATAATTTTAACTTAATGTGCAAAAAAAAATACAAGCAGTAACACAAAAATATAACGTGAAATGCAGTTCACCAGATCTGCCGCGGACGCGGAAATATGAGCAATTTACTCGCAGGAAAGAAAATATCATCTGGACGTCAGAGATATTGGCACAACATTGGAAAAACTAGATAAACAGCAGATTGGCGACGAGTTTAGGTATTCGGCTGGCTTTACTGCTAAACAGACCACTGTTTTGCAACATTCACAGTCAAAATACAAAAAATAACATTCTGGTATGTTACAAATCCACAAGGGCCGTGATGAGGATTCGAACCTGCGCCCGGGAGCATCCCAGACACTGCCTTAATTAATCCTCGTCACGGCCGTTGTGGATTTGTTCATTTGATGCATCACGTTAGTGTGATCTCTGTGTGTAATTCTGGTATGTTGTGGACTCATTAGCAATCCCTGGACCCATTCTCAAGTCCTGGACCATCATCAGGTCTTGGACGAGTATCGAGTCGTGTACCATTAACGCGTCGATAATAATCATACGGGTTGATAAAATCCAGGACGGACAGAACTGTCGTCTCTTTCTTTATTTTCATATATGTTGTTGGAGGCCTTATTTACATCCAGGTTATTGTAACTTACTCTCTACGGGTCATTGATGATCAGGCTATTGATGATCTTACAAATTTATGGCCTGGTTAATGATACTTTGATTATTAATGATCTTGTCAATGATGATCTGGGTATTGATGATATGGATAGCGATAGTTTGGACATTGATGATCTGATCATAACGACCTGATCATGTATAATCTGGACATTCATTATCGGGACATTAGGAATCTGGACATTTTACCTATAGGACAATGAAAACCTTGTTATTGATGATGTGGTCATTGATGATACGGGCATTTTGTATTCAGGAAAATACAGTGAAAACCTGATCATTGACGATCTGTACATTTATGAGGAGGACATCAATGATCTGAAGATGTTATATATATATTCAGGACAGTTATAACCTGACCATTGATTATCTGACATTGATGACCTGAACAATGATAACTATGGCTATTCTCCCATTTAGATAGCAGCAATTTCCCAGATATCCTTACATGGGAGAATTTTATCTTATCTCGAAAGCAAAAAAAAAAAAACAGCTCCACTCAATACGAGATGCAGACCGGAAAACAGAGTTATCAGAGG